TTCCTCCTGGGATGCTTTGATTCAGCCAACTTTTTAACCTGTAGCTTTAAAGTAAGCCTTAAATAATGAGGTTTCCCAGGGTTACGCCCTGGCTCTTTCCTTTCATTACCCTTTTCCTGGGTAACCACCTTTATTCTGTTGGCATCAGCTAACTCTTATATGTTGATTTATCTTTCTTTTTTACAGCTCATCACTCGCTCCTCATCTCAAACTCAGTATGTTAGAACTGAAATCATTATCTTACCCCTAAATATGCTTCTATCTTTCTATTCCCCTAAGTTTTACCTCAGGTTTAATCCCTGCCTCCAGCTTTGCCTTCTCTAGACCCTTCTCCCGCCTGCCCCAAATCATTTCTAAGATGGAAATCTAATCATAGGCTTCTGCTCAAAGCCTTCAATGACTCCGGCTGGAATTCATATTAAAGTTCAGACCCATTAGCAGGAGCAAATGGATGGTCATCCCTGTCCATGGCTTCACATTTTCCACCAGCTCCCCCTTCCCAAGCCCAGACTATAGTCAAAACCAATGCCCCAGGTGAAATTAGGTTCCTCCTATGACTTCTACGGCACCCTGCATGTATCACACTTTATTACAATCATTTATTCAGTAACAAAAATGTACAGAGTGCCAACTATATGCCAGACAGTGTTCTGTGCACCAGGGAGGTAGTTTTGGGCAAAACAAAGTTTTTGTTCTCATGGAATCCAATTCTAGATGAAGAAACAGACAGTAAACATAAGTAAGGAAAATAACATAGAAAAATTGATAGTAAGGGACTTGGAGGTCCTTCCATTAGGGAAGTTGGCACTGGTCTCTCTGGGAAGGTAATGTGAACAGATAAATGATAACAATAAAAGTGGCTGTCTGAAGATCTAGAGGAACAAGGTTCCCAGTGGAGGGAACAGCAAGTTGAAAGGCTCCTGAGATTGTAATAAGATGTTTGAGAGATGCAAAGAAGCCAGGGAGGCTTGAGAAATCACTCAAGTAGAAGATGAAAGGGAGCGATGCAGGAGATGGGCTGGAGAGGTCAATGGGGGCCAGGTAGGGGCTTGGATTTATTTTAATTGCAGTGGAAAGCCACTGGAGGGTTTTCAGTAGGGCAGAAGTTTCTTATGGCAGTGGGTAGGATCACAGGCAGTGGCATAGCCTAGATTCAGGGTCATGATGTCTTGAACTGGGATTTTAGCAGGGAAGTTACAGAAAGGGTCATGTTTGGTAATAATTCGGATATATTGCCAATAGAAGATGCTGATGGATTGTGTGTGGTAGGTGTTTATGTCTGTGACTCATTGTGTAGCAAGTAAGCTCTTTGTGGAAAGGGACCATTTCTTCATATCTGCATTTTTAGTTCACACCTGGCACCTAACAGGTCACTGAAACTGTTTTGAGAATAAAGGAAGTGAAAGCTGGGGCAGTCAGCAAAGCCTTTGTGGTAAACGTGAGAACTGATCTATAACTTTAAAGATGGTCAAGTTTTGACTGGTAGAAATGGAAGTAGAGGGAATGTGAGTCCTTAACATTTCTGGATCTACATACCTTATGTCTTCATATTTAAAGTTGTAAGTCAAACTAATTGACTGTTAAATAAAATGTATTCTATCTATTCTGAAGTTATAAATCAAGCTAGCAAACTGTTAAATAAAACATGCTTTATCCTTTAACCTTGACAAATATACTTTGGCCGTGGGATGGGAGAGCCAGCCCCTGGACCGTGGTATGAGGCATGCCCCCTCCCTGCCCATCCCAGATTCCTCATATTCATGTGTGTAAACCCTCTGGCCTGTAGAGGGTACCTCAACCCCTGGCCCCTGTGCAATCAGGCCACGGAAGCTGCCATTGGACTATTATTGGATAAGGGAATTTTGGGTCTCAGGTATCCAGAGCATGGACTGGACGGCAGGACTAGGACTCAGGGTGAACACCTCCCTTTGGCCCTGACAATTTTTCACCCCCAGAGGAAGGGTAAGAGCCAGAACATGGTCCATATAAAGGGTGAAACTGGGGCAAAGGCCTTTTTTACCTGGATCTAAGGACAGTGCTGGTTGAGGGGGTAACAGGTGGGAATTGTGAGGCATATTAAGGGAATAAAGAAAGACTAGTTTGTTTGCAGCAGAGAATTCATACAGCCGAGGGAAGACCAGATCCTAGGTGGACAAGAATTTCAGGATAAAGAACTTTGATCATACAGGCAATGGGGAATTCAAACTCTTAAGCAGAGGAAGAAATGATTAGACATTTGTGCACAGGCTGGATGGGAAAGCAGGGGAGACAGTGATATCAGCAGAATTAATGGACTGTGAGGGTCAGGGCCAGAAGTAACAAGAACTGAAAGCAGAGAGAAAGGAGTTCATGTGATTTCTAAGAAGAAGAGACAATCAATTAGATGTAGGGCTTGAAGGAGACAGAGAAATGGGGTCAAGGATGGTTTTGCAAGAGAAAATATGGCTGCTGCTTTATTCCCAGTGCTGTGGACCGGATTTCGTGTCCCTTCCAAATTCATATGCTGAAGCTCTAATATGATGGTATTCGGAGGTGGGGCCTCTGGGGTAATTACATTGTGAGAGTCTGACCCCCACAATGGGATTGACGTCCTTCTAAGAAGAGGAAAGAGCTAGCCTTCTCTCTCTCTGCTGTGTGAGGATGGAAGGAGAAGGAGTTGTAAGCCAGGATCTGCCAGAGGCTTGATCTTGGACTTCCCAGCCTCCAGAGCTGTGAGAAATAAATGCTTGTGGTTGAAGCCGCCCACTCTACGGTATTCTTGTTACAGCAGCTCGAACTGAGTAAGACTCGAAGGAAGGCTCTTTTCCCTCTGAGAGGTCAAGGGAGGTGTGGGTATGCTTTGAACACCGTTCCTATAACCAATGCCAAGTCTGACTTCTCACAGCTCCTATGAACCTCGCCTCCCCCTCAAAGTCTTTTCCAGCCAGCACCTCACCCCAGCTCAGCACCCCCATCCACTGTCTGGCTGAGCCAGGAGGGCAGTGTTAGCTGGGAGCTCTAAATTATGTTCACTTTGGGAGTGGAGGAGGGGTTTTGTAGAGATTATAAAAATGTAGGATTATTCTAAAAGGATAAACAAGTCCACCCCCAGGCAGGCACCCAAGTCATGATCAAATAACATTAAATGATCATCAGCGGGAAACAGAAGAGCTGACAGGGTGATGTGGTATCCAAACTGCCCGGGTTTGAATCCTGACTCTGCCTCTTGCCAGCTGTGTGACCTAGAAAGTCCAAACCAGAACGTCTTCTTCTTCCGAAGTCCTGCTAGCATGAGTGTTTTCTGTCCTGACATGGGTGCTGGGAGCAGAGAGGGAACTGTCCCTCCTTTTACCACATGGAGGAGTGAAGACAAAGGCCAGGGAGCTTTCACGGCACTCAGAAGCATTGGGGCAGCAGTGTCATGTTAGAGCCAACAAATTAAAAGCATTTTCCATGAAAAAAACCAAAAACAAAAAAACCCCCCAAAAAACAAGTAGGCCTATAGATTTGTGCCATTTGATAGAAAAGTAACAGTTTTATATTTTACATACTGGAATATAAAATGCCTTTTGGCAAAGACCTCAGTAATTTTACTTGTTAGGTTATTTTTTCATTAGGCTCTTATTATAACCATCTGTTGGGATGTGCTAACTAGTTGTTTGTCACTAGTTCTTTCCCCCGTCCTCTTTCCACGGTTGCTTGGCAGCTGAGTTTGTTTTTCATTTCAATCAGTGGCACACAATTTCAAGCAGATGTTTTAAAAAGTGCTTGACTTTTAAGCAGTGCCCTCTTGACGGTGAGGCTACACTCAAGCCAGAATCTGGTTTGCAAATGAGGGTGCTGGGAACGGGGATCTTTGACAGCTTTCCTCAGGGATATTAGTGCCTGGGCCTGGAAGCATCTTAGCATCTCGGACCTGCACAGTCCATTCCTTGGAGGAACGGAAGCCCAGCACACACTTGTGGGGCTGAGAAGCACACACTTTCTATTAGGGTGCCCTGTATTTGAACCCTGCCTCCATCGCCTGCTGACTGGATGAACGTGAGCAAAGCTCTCAGTCTCTTGTATGTTACATGGGGATACGAATGGGATAGCACCTCACAGGCTGCTGAGAGGATGAGAAGTGATAAGGTACATAAAGCATGTTCGTTCAATGACTGACACAGAATAAGCACTCAGCTCCTGCCAAAATGGTGGGTGTAATTTCTATCTTGATTTTTTTTTTTTTTGTTTTTTCTATCTTGATTTTTTAAAAAACCTTCCAATATTCCTATGGGGTTGGTTGCTATTAATATTATCACTGAGTTGTAGATGAGGAAGGTGAAGCACAGAGAGGTGAAGTAACGTGCCCAAGGCAGCACAGCTAGTAAAGTGGCAGTGCAGTCTGGCTCCAGAGTCTCTCTCTGTTCGGTGCTTTTGGGTGCTAAGTGGGGCTGGGTGGTACATAGCAGGCAGTGCATACTCTGTTTTAGGCACCAGGGGTAAGCACTTTACAGCACAAGGCTCCATTGAGCTCCCTAAGCTAACTCTCTTACCATGGTCCAGGGGATGCTATTACTCCCTTCACGCTAGAGGTGAGGGAAGTCAGTGAGATCAAAGGAGGTCAGGGAGGACATATGCTGCCGAGAGGGGCTGGCTCCAGAGCTGGTGCCCCACACTGTTTCTTTGCACACTGCTGGGCAGTTCCCCAGATCCTTCAGAGCTGCATGGACCCGCGTGGTCACCTCCCATAAATGTCCCCAGGATGCCAACAGGTTTCCGGGAGACACAAGAGTTGAAGCCCACGTGTCCTGACTCCAGCCCATTGTTTTATGTTTTTGTTCATGGTATTATAATAACATTATTAACTGCCACTGTGAGTAACTCAATATACTTCATGTTTTCTTTTCCTCTGGCCCCAAGTCTTATAATAATACAAAGATTCTAAAATGAATAAATATTAAAAACCTAATTTGCACAAGCACGAGGAAGTCCAGAAGGCCAAGTAAACAAGAAATCTGGGCACTTTTCTTCAGAAAATAAAAGTAGCAGGAAAAAGAAATAAGCTAAAAAGTGGTAAAAGTAGATGTGGGAAAATAATACTGCCAAATTCCTTCATGTTATCCATATTCTGGAAAATTACTGTCCACAATTACTTATTAGAAGGTATTGCTGGTTATAGTTCTGCCAGGAAAAGGGTTGGTTTTTGTTTTGTTTTAATTAAGTATTTTCTGCTAGTTCTGCCCACTGGATACCATAACAAAATTTTAGTAGTGTGAAAAGTCCAGGCCTGCTCTCCCTGTACGGTGATTTTAACTGGTTTTATACTTGAACCTTACACCTGGGGATATGATGAGATGACGCCATAGTTTATCATCATAGTTTATTATCGTCATTAAAATGTTGCTTTCTATGACATCTCAGGCAGGGCCGTTTATTATGGAGAATCTTGTTTTCAAATGTTTTGACCTATTACAAATTTCCTCATGATGTGCCACGAGGAAAGGCAGCCTGGCAAAGTCTCGGTGCCTGTCCTAAAGACAGCCTCTCTCCTCTTCAGGGAGCACAAGATCATAAGCATTTGCTTTTGCTAAGCCCAGTTATGGAAGGCCTATTTACCATTATTTAAACATACTTAGCTTCATAAATGTTTTCTCGTTTAGAACCTCGGCCTTGTCAGGATGCGCATTTTGAAATTGTATTAATTTCTAAGAAACCAGGATCTATACACCCCTACCGATTTCCACATGGGGTTGCTTTCTTCCAGATACTTACTGGATTTCAGATGGAATTAGACAGGTGGTCTTAGGCTCAAAGCTATTCAAGGCTGATAGAAAAATAAAGTAGGGCCAGCAGCCTTTGCCACAGAGAGCCTGTCTCAGTACTGACAGACCCCTCAGGGTCTTCAGTCCAATTCTGCAGTGACAGGTGATGCCCATGCTGATCTCAGCTGAACCTGGCATCTCTGGGCTCCTGGGGACCAGGGGTGACTTGGACAGACCCACCTGCCTGCCTAGAATCTTTGGGGTCTGGAACAAATCTGAGCCGCTCACCTGTGACAACCACAGGACCACAGCTGAGGTGGACCAGATGCCAGGGACGAAGCAGGTAGAAAGGGTACAGTCTTTCTCTTTCTCTTCCCTCTTCAGCTCAGTTCAGCAGAAGCACACTGAGTTCTTGTTAGGCTGCCATACAGTCTGCAAAAAAAGCTGTTTGTCATGGAGGCTCACAGCTCCTTCTCCTGCAAAGCACCATGGTAATATGAGATTCGCCTCCCCTCTTCTCTTCCGTGCGCTCATTCTTTGCTATCTCAGAGCTGGGAGAAATACCAAATAAATATAAACCTTGGCACATCTGGAGACTCAGTTGTATCTAAGCCCAAATAACACCAGAGAGGGTCCTTACCAGAGAACGGAGCTGGGACAGCACTGCCATCTTGAGAGAAAATATTACCTTGTGCTGAGAGCTTTATACACATCATCTCAATTAATCCTTACAACAACTCTATGGGGGAGTACTATTTTTAATATCATTTTACAGAGAATGAGGCATCCAGAGATGAGGTAGCTTGTCAACAGTCATTCGGCCTGTAAGTGATGGATTCAAGATCCATACCCAGGTTGGATTAACTCCAGAGGCCAAGAACTTATCCAATTTTGCTATATTGCATTTGTCATTAATCTTATTTATTAATATGTAAGAAATGAGGGGCATACAAGCATTTTACTCATCTGAACGTGCCTACTTTTTGACTTCACATCAAAATGCATGCACCATCAGTTTCTATCAACTACCAAATGCACAAATCAGAAATACAGCTCAGCCCAGTGTCATGAGCCATGGACACTCTCATCAGAGAAAAACCCACCCGAATATATTGCACTTGGTGTGGAGTGACAGAGCTGTCATAAAGGTAATCATGTAAAAAACAAAATCTGCCATTATTAGGTTTCTGAATTTCCGAGACGGGGTTGTTTTCTGTACTGGCTAATGATGAACACACTTCTTCTATTCATCATTTCCAGTTTTATACTCTTGGGAGTAGGTTATCATAACTATCAAACCAGAGATATAAAAGACTAGGAAACATTTAGTTTCTGAATATAATGGCTTAGAATCCCAGTAAATCAAAAAAGCAAGGGGGAAAATAAACAATACAGTTATGATGCCAGCTGGAGAATCTTTATAGTTGAGCCTTGACAGTGGTTTGCAAGTTTTCATGTTGACGATGATAAAAGAAAGAAAGAAGAAAGAAAGAAAGAAAGAAAGAAAGAAAGAAAGAAAGAAAGAAAGAAAGAAAGAAAGAAAAAAGTAATCTGCCTAGAAGGACCAAAATCTCCAAGCACATACACACAGAAGATAATTACAAGATCCTGGGACTGGAAGTGACTTTTTTTTTTTTTATAAATTAATTTTTATTGGTGTTCAATTTACCAACATACAGAATAACACCCAGTGCTCATCCCGTCAAGTGTACCCCTCAGTGCCCGTCACCCTGGAAGTGACTTTTAATGTAATCTCTGCTTTTAGGACTGACCATTTCATTGCTTTTAAGAGCAGAGAGGTCAACAGAACTATAAAGATTTAATAATACTTGTATAGGTAATTTTCTGGAGAAGCCAAAGGATCTCCCCTCCTGCCAGTCTTTCCTCCCAATACCCCAATGTGCATGCACGCGCATGCGTGCACACACACACACACACGTGCTTGCACGCCCTTTGACCAAGGAATTCTAGGCTTCGATGGCAATTATATCTTGACTGGATCATTGGACTATATTAATTGAAATGATCTTTACTCCTTAAAGTTCAACTTCACTATTAATTTTGTTATGCAGAGTTTACTAATCCCCTAAAAGCTAAGAACAGAGATTCTTAAACTGGAGTTCATAAATTGGCTCCCTTGAAATAGGATGAACAATTTCCTCTGTGGAATTGTTTGTACAGTGTCCTGTGGAGAAGTTTCATAGCTTTAATGGGATTCTCAAAGGCTTTCTGAGTCCCCTTCCTAGCTTCAAGACCCCTGTCCTAGAGGCCTCTATGAGGCTGAGCGACATGAGAGTTTATTTTATTTTATTTTAAAAAAGATTTTATTTATTCATGAGAGAGAGACAGAGAGACAGAGAGAGACAGAGACAGAGACAGAGACAGAGGGAGAAGCAGACTCCCTGAAGACTCAATGCCAGGACCCCAGGATCACAACCTGAGCCAAAGGCAGGTACTTAACCAACTGAGCCATCCAGGCACCTGAAATCGGAGTTTTAAAAGGAATCCTGTTTCACTCTAACTCAGCACTTTCTAGATTACAGTCTTACATCAGTTCAAAGTAGGTTTGCCACCAAAAATTTTTAGTGTTCAGAGCACTTGGATTTGGGGATCAAGAATAAGCAATTGTAGACCTGTCTTCTTGCAACAACCATTGGTTACATCTTATTTTCTCCAGTTCCCAAGGTCCTCATTCTTATGTCATCGTTGAGTTACCAACCTTGGCTTGTCCTCTTATCAATAGTCCTTTGACTACAGAGTTGGGCTGACAGCTGAGCCAGCTACCCGGTATATCTCTTACCTTCACACTCATTTGAATTGTGTCCTGCTTAACACGGCGGCTCCCTTCTCCTATTAATGCTCTGGCTGAAGAAGATTCCTCTCTTCTCTTGGCTTTGCCTTGCTCTCTCCCAGTTCCCGAGGTAGTCTCTCTCGCCACAGCTCCAGTATTCCAAGGGCTGCTGCCTGTCTAATAAATTCTCAAGGAGCTCTCAAAGTACTCCTGATGACGTTGGTTTGTTCACTGGTCAGAAGAACACTCTTCCCCTGGAGATGAGAGGACATTCCTCAGTTTCATTCGGTTATGCCTGAGAGGTGCTTCCAGGCTGCTTGAGAATGAACGACACAGAAAATCCTCCTGGGGATGGCACTCCTCGGTTCTCTTCCCCATTCCAGAGTGTCCCCAGAGAAGGAATGTGGGCTCTAACATCCTCATGACAGCTGAGAGCAACACTGCCAGTGGCACAGGGTCAGCGGCATGTGGCAGCCGTCAAAGGCCACCTGCGTGATACTGGATGGCCACCGGGATCATACAGTTTAACACTGGTGCAGTGCAAAGAGCATGATCAGACATATGGGAGTTTGATTTTGAATTTGTTTGCATGCTGTGTGACCTCGGGTCAGTTACTTAAATTCTCTGTGCTTCAAGCTGTAAAATGGGGATAATGTTACTACTCGACAAAGGCTATAATTAGGAGAATGTGAGACAACCTAAATCAATGTCCCAATAAATTTCCAGTCTCTTCCTTCCATGCCTTTCCATCGGTTTTCTCTTGCCAGTCCAGGAAACCCTGGAAGAGCAAGAACATGTCTTCTCTTTGTATTTATTCTTAGCACAGGGCCTGGCCCGTAGCAGGCATGCAACAAACTATTGAATAAATGGATGAATGAATATGATTGTTTTTGTTGTCGGTGGCACACCTTTGGTTCCTCCTAAATCTGATATTCACAATTTGATGAGAGGCCACCAGGGTGAAGATGCCTGAGCCAGAGCTTTATGGTCTAAATAACCATATCTGTTTCCGATGTAGATAACAGAGTGACACTGCACAAGCTCTTTCATCCTGATCTTGTGTTTAACTTTAAAAAAAATGGAACTTTTAATTGTATAGACAGACTAATACCTCCTGATAGCTAGTGTTAAAATGTTACATTTTTAAAATGATGTCTCAATTTTGAGTAAAATTTGAAGATCTACTGCAACTCAATATATTTTCCTCTAATCCTCAACTGGTATTAATTAAAATTTAGCTTAATCCTAGTGTTCCCTTGGGTTCAGGCAGATTATAATGACCAAACTAATTCTGCAATGTTTTAGTAGACCCCAAGATTCATTGAGGGCTTTATGTAGGTTTTGGGAATTAAGATGCTGTAAATTTTAAAACCTATTCAAGCAGCTCTATATTTAATTATTCCTCCATTGTCTTGGAATAGAGAAGAAAGGAAATGATTTCAAAATTATTAACACAGAAATCACTGATGTGCTTTTGCAGCATTTTCGATTAGCCTCAGTAGCTTTACCTGTAAAAGGGGCATTGGCAGGATTGCCGTGCCCTCTGAAACATGCATGGAAACACCCAGGGCTTGGCCAGCTGTGCAAAGCTGCAGCTGCTGGATGTCACTTTATTTTGTTATTTTGCCAGAAATCTTTTTCAGTGCTTATTTTTCATAATCCCAAGATTATGTGGTCTAGCAGTAAACAAGGACTATGTAGGTTTTACTTATAATCTACATTTTTCCTTCTGATTCTTTTCTTTTTTCTTTCCATCTGATTCTTAAGGGTACATTTTTTTCTTTTTTGCCTTTGATGGGGTAAAATGAAAGTCTCTGTGAGCAATCGCTGTGCCAAGAATCCAGGTAGGAGAGGAGAAAGATCTGAAGAGAGCAGAAGAGCAAGACCAGCTGGCTGGAATGTGCTCTCACCTCTCTCTGAGAGGTAGGTAATATAATCCATATCTCCCAGAGAGCACACTGACAGTGGAGGTGAAAAATGCTGCTCTGGAGGCTGGAGGTAAGATGCTCGACAGGGCTGACAATGGGTAAGGACAAAGTGGTGAATAAAGATGCTTAAATTCCTCATACTTGTCCTATGTGACCTGGCACTTCTTCTAGGATTCAAGAACATGTGTACACTTAATTCAGCCCGGCCCCACGCACTACTCCCCACAAGAAGGAAAATCTGTCTTGATTTCTCTTTTCCATCCATTCCTTTTTTATTTCTTCCAATAGAATCTTAAATTATACCTGGGTAGAGGTACACTGTCACACAGATGAGTCTACTTCATCTCTTCGGATGATGAGAGGGGGTACACAAGGTGGGAGCCAGCAGAAACAGCCTTTGATTAATATTTCAGTCACAGAGGAGGAAGCAGGCTACACGATAAAGGCATATTAAGAAATAGCTCCCAGACAAATGTATTTTGTGAGTTCATCTTGAATCATCCAACATCACATTCACACTGCATCAAAATTCAGGTGATTTATACAATCGCATTAGGTTCTATTAGTATTAATGGGAAATATGCATGTATATCAATATATGCATTAGTGGAGACAGACTCCCCAAAGGGTTTCTGCTTTGGGGCAAAAGCTGCTATTATTTGTCCCTTCTCCATGATGGAAATAGAATTATGCCCATTAAGTAAGTGTTCGATACTCCATGCTCAGCAGAAAAGGGGCTCACTCCTAAAGACACAAATAAAATTATATTTTGTCTTTGTAATTAAAAGCATTGTAGCAAATGGTCATGTCTTACTATTATTTACTACTTGCTATCTAGAAGTTATTTTTATTATCAGCTGTGGCTAGTCATTGATTCTAGTGAAAGAGAATGGTTTCCTAGTTCTTCATTCCTGTGTCAAAGAGGAAGAAATAGGCCAAGTTTGGCAGGGCTTTTATTGAGAGAGGCATCCCAGAAGTAAAACAATAAACTGTCAGGAAAGATCATTTTTCCAATTCACAAAGCAGGAAAAGGCTAAGGCTTCAGCCTGCTGATATTCTGGTGGAAAGAAGTTTTAAGTCAAATTAGAGGCAATAAGAACTCCACAGTGTGTCTTCATTGTACCAGCAATGATGCTTTTGGCCACTAATAACAGAAGACCCAATTCCACATGTCTTAACCTATTAGGTTGATTATTTCACAAAGAGGAAGTCCAAATCATTTCAGGGTTAACTTGCCTGTTCTACTGTGCTATTGAGGACCCTGTCCATCCTGGCCCTCCACCATCCAGCAGGTGATCTTTGTACTTCGATGGTGAACAATGTTGCTAAGATGCTGGCCTCAGTTGCAGACCCAATACCAACAGTGAAGGAAGGAAGATCATCTTCTATACATTTCTTTTTATTGGTAGGCAAGTTTTTTCCAGGAGTCCCTCAGCAGCCAGCCTTAGGTCCTGTTCCTCTTCCATCATCAACAAGCCGTGAGAGAAGTAGACCTCCAAAACTGGCTTAGGTAATCGATTTGCCACCCCATCCATGAGTTCCAGATAGGGTCACCATCCATGAACTGATGGTATCCCAGAAAGAGCTGTATACCACATGGAATGGAGGGTTCCAAGGGTGAGGAAGCAGGGGATAGTGGTGTGGGGATGGACAGTCATCTGTATGTGTGCCATGCCAGTGAGTTCCATTACTGGGCTCCTCAAAGTTCTACTTAAATGTAGTCATGGACACCTGGGGTCTCACTGGAATCTATGAGGGAGTACTAGGTTTTGTGCTAAATCTGATTCAATATAGTTGATCCAAAGATTTAAACACTAAAGCCTGGGGCTTGAAGCCAGTTAAGGCTGCGGTTTCTAGGTTCAGGAGATTAATGAGAAACGAGGAGATTGCTTATTCTGAAGCTAATCCTCGGACTCCAACTGACAACTGTTTTATTTTATTTTTATTTATTTATTTTAATTTAAATTCAATTTGCCAATCTATAGTATAGCACTCAGTGCTCATCTCATGCACCCTCCTTACTGCCCATCACCCAGTTACCCCATGCCCCCACCTGCCTCACCTTCTGCCACCCTTTGCTTGTTTCCCAGAGTTAGGAATTTCCCATGGTTTGCCTTCCTGTCTAATTTTTCCCCACTCAATTTCCCCCCTTCCCTTATGGTCCCTTTCACTATTTCTTATATTCCACATATGAGTGAAACCATATCTGACAATTGTTTTAAAAGGAAAAAGGAGAAGAATGAAAAATATAAAACGAAGAAGAATGAAGAAATAAAATAATATTAATATAGTTTGTATCTTGGTTATTGTTAGCTTTACGTGACTGAAAAGTGGGGGAAAGTTAATCTTTGACACCTCCATCTCTCCATTCTGTTCTCCCTCGCCCCCCTCACCCCCATGACTCCCAGCGGCACACAGGGTTCTCATATTTTATTCCTGCTTCCTTCTGTCATATCTCCTCCCAGAGCTTTCTTTCACACTAGGGTGTTAATATTGAATAGCTTAAGTATCATCCATTTCACTAATAAGCTTGACTGTGTGGCATGATAGGTCTCATGGAAAGGGAAAGAATTTTAGAACTAATCACTTCTGGGATGGAGATCTAGAACCCAAAAAAGAATGGCCAGACTCAAAATCACATGCTCTACTGCTGCCCTGAGCAATATGGTAACCAACAGACATATATGGTTAAAGAGTTTACATGTAAATTAATTAAAATTAAATAAAAGTAACCATTTCCTTTCTCAGTCACACTGGCCACATTTCAAATGCTCAGTAGTTATATGTGTCTAGCTGGGAGTACTATACTGGTAATTGCAGACATAGTACATTTCCATCATCAGAGAAAGTTCTATTGAACCATGCCATTCTAGAGAGAAATGGAAAGTCAGGATTATGACAGCCAGTGATGTTTTCCAGGGAAGTCCAGTCTTATGGATGGGGATGATTGTCAAGGTTTAAATTGAGTTGGAGAGGTTGAGTTGGTTCATTTGTTTTGGGACAGGCATTTGGACAGTGGCTGGATGTCAGTGGGTGAACAGGGAATGTATCGAAAAGCATGACTAAGGTGGACATTGGGCGAGGCAATGGTCCAACCACTGACTCCATGAGGACTAGGAGAGGACAAGGGATGTTGAGGAACTCAGAACGAGAGTTAGGTTGAACTTGAGCAAACTTGAATTTTAAAAAATTGCATAATTTTTATTCATCCCAATTTGTATTGATGAGTATTTTCTATTTATGACACGTGTCTTAATCTGCTTGGGCTGCTAATACCAAATTAGCATGACTAGGTGGTGTAAACAACAGCACTTGTTTTTCATAGT